TGGTGAAGACACGAATTTGATTTGTTAAATTTGAAGCATACTACATCACGTGTGTGACACGAGATTCATTTCATCCATTTACGGGATAAATCCCTTTATACAAAAAGTGCAGGAGAAAAAGTTTAACATGTTTCACAGTTTTACAATGACTCAAAGCATAGGTTCTTGAAACAATTTTAACATTAACTTCACCTTCCTCAACTTTTTGCTTTTATTGAAATAACTTGTTTAATAAAAATCCTACATGGTCAAAACTTTTTTATTTGTTATTTAACTTGTTATTGGTGGCACTTTAAATTTTGGATAGATTCTATTTTTTCTTGTTCAGCAAGATGAATAGTAAAAATTCTTTTTTTATCATTTAAGTTTGGATCATAACGGCATATTCATTGAAAGTGTGTGTCAAATTCATACACTTCAAAAATCGAAGTCAGCCATAAAATGTGTCGAAGATGACGCTTTTAAAGTTTCACATATTCGTTATATGAGAACATCAGACTCACTGGCTCCGGGATGTATGCTGTCTCGTTAACTGTCTATAACTTTATCAATTTCATTTTTCAAACAAATCCTAGTTCTATGTCTACAAATGTCTACTTCCAGAAAATAAATAAATAATAAATTATTATATAAATTATTTTTAAAGGTTCAGACTAGAATACCCTCATTATCTTGTACATACTTATCTATTCTTTTTTGAATATATTAACAAAAACTAACAATAAGACACCCTCTACATATGTTCCTCATATTAATACAGATTTCTATGCTACAGTTTTGTAATCATTTTACATTTTTGTATCAAGTATGACCTTTATATCTCTTTGATACACAATGCTTCTGAAAAGAATGCATTTATTTAATTTGCATAATAAGCTGCTTCGTTTTTAATATAATGATGTAAAACTGTTATATGTTGAAACATGTCTGTCTTATTTTAAGCCGAACAATATAAAGAACTCTTAGTACTTTAAAACCGTTGTTGCTTTTTGCAGTATTAACTCCGGTAGTATTCTGCAGCTGCGAGATTGTGAGCTGCATACGTTATTAGTTCAATGCATAGAGGATTTAATGCAGTGTTCATCATTTCTACATATTATAACTTAAGTTCCTTCGATACGTAGTTCGAAAGCAGCTTATTTCTTGTTGAGTTGTTATCCTATTACTAAGATGCCAATTTGTATTCTTCGCGAAATGCGATAATTTGAAACCATTAGATTTTGAAAATTTTCAGTGCTTTAGATTTTGGAATTTTTGCGTTTTTAAGTAATTTAATTTTCACATTCTTCGTTTCTTAACATCTAAAAATATCCAATTTTCAAATTCCGAAATTCAAAAATTACTGGATTACAAATACTTTTTCTGTATCTAGATTTTCGAATTCTAAAATTTTCAAATAATTAAATTCTTAAATTTGGAAATTCGTAAGTTGGTAAGTTTGTAAATTTATAAATCTCTAAATTTGAAAATTTATATATCTTTAAATCCGAAAATTTTTCAATTTCTACATTTGAAAATTTATATATCTTCAAATCCGGAAATGTTTCAATTTCTACATTTGAAAATTTAGCACCCTTCAAATTTTTCCTCTGCACCATCGTTTCTCACAAAATTCTATCACATTCCTCCATAAAAAGGAAATATAAAATGTCCAGTGAATACATAAAGCAAATTACCGTTAGAGTATTTATTTATTTCAACGTATAAAGCGAATTAGCAAAAATATAAAAATTTGATAATTAACGAATTCGCCTTTTATCAATTCTGATCTGAAAGAGCTGCCTACGAGGAATGCGATCGTCTATTTTTGCGGTATGGTTGATGAATTCTTTCTCTGTCCACAAACATTCTTTCAGTAGAAATAACACCGGATGGAATGTTGAGCGTTATAAATTGACTGGATTACAATCTAATCGGAACTCGATTCGTTTCATATCCTATTCAAACATGTTCCTTCACCTTGTCGTTAACCCGTTAACTTCGGAATTTAGTTTTAACCTTAATTTTTCGGACGTGTGATGACCACTTGTATGTACGCTGAAACTAAACAATAAGAATTGATAGATTTCAGTAATGGCCGCAGACACACTGTATAAGGTAATGGCACCAGTAGTTGACCAGTTAAGAGAAATTTTCCACGTAAAAATGGTAACCGCTTGTTCTGTCAGTAAATAGAGAGATTCGATGCCTGGAAGCATTTTTAAGATAGGTTTCTAGATTAAAAAACGCGATGTACACAGATCTGTGCAACGCAACGAAGCACCTCCAGTTGACCCCGCATTGTACCACGCAATGTTTTAGGAACATACATCGATCATGTTATTATTCCGTCAAGGTTTAAGGTTTAAGGTTTTTATTTCTTCTTACGAAGATGGCGCTTTGGCCATAGACTGGCTCATTTCGCCATATTATTCCGTCAAAATGATACGTAATTTGATACGCAAACCAGCGTATATGATTTTCTATCTCCATGAAGGTTAGCATGTATTTCGACGAAAGCTTAATTTTTGTAATTGGACATAAACAATGTGAAATCCAGTTTCGTAAACTTAGTAGCAAATTCACACGGTTGCCGATTCGATTTTCTCACGAGCACGGTTTTATTGAATATGAGACAGCAATTCGCGAGCCATTCGATTCGATTGTTGGTGCAGTGTTACAGTCTGGTCAGTGAACAGTCATCGTGGATTCTTGTTAGTACTATAAGCGCGGGAATCATATTTGTGAACAACGTAACATAAAACCAAATGCCATCGCATTACGCATTCGATAAAACCGTTCTGAGATTTTTCGAATTGCTGTGACGTATTTGATCATTATACGGGAAAAAAGTATATCTCGAATCTTTTACCGCATGAACTTTGTATGAACAGCTAATACAAAATTCATTACCGCTGTTCGATAAAATCTCGTATACGGTATACGAGAAAAATCGGTCTGTGTGAACCTGGCCTTACTGTTTACGTTCAGTCTTAGTGTTTGAATTACACTGCTCAAAAGAAATATGGCATAGAAAAATTTTAGGCAAAAATTGGCCAAATTTGACTGATGATAACTTCGTGAAAAATCATCGCAAAGTTATGCTCTTTTTTTTCAAATTAAAGCTTGAGATCTCTACTTTAAGACGCTGTAGTTTGATTTTAGATTTGATGCATCAATACCACAATAACACCGTAAAGGTGAGGTCATGTTTCCTATATTGAAAATTACAAAGTTTGACAAAATGCATGGACTTGCCACATTTTTTTTTTTTTGGTGATACTGTTTACAGCAGCATAAAGTACAAACCTTCATCTTTAATTTCTAGTATGTGAAAAACCGCTACCATTTCTTCCCGCAAAGATATAGAACTTTAAAGAAACCCTTGCATTTAAGGCATATACCGCCGGCATTAGCATTATCCGATATGCACCTTGGAGAGGTTGCTGGACAGATTTTGCACATCATATGGATCTGACAAGAGCCTTTTTTTGTGTGTATTTGTGTGTGAGTACCTGTGTGTGTGTATGAATTATCGTCGAGAAACCTCGTTGAGAATCATTCTCGTATTTTGCAGTCCCAATTCAATTCGATTGCTTCCACATCCTGCAGTAAATTCAGATTTGAACCCTACAGAAATTTAAAAAGACAACCTGCCAATCTGTAAGACTTGTCGCAAGTCTTAACTCAATTTTGGAATGACATTCCACAAAAAGAAATTAGGGCTTGCATTAACATGAATAATAGGCTGCAAGGGATAATTCAACAACGCGGAGGAAACACACGTTATTAGAATTCAAACATACACACAAATACACACAAAAAAGGCTCTTGTCAGATCCATATGATGTGCAAAATCTGTCCAGCAACCTCTCCAAGGTGCATATCGGGCAATGCTAATGCCGGCGGTATATGCCATAAATGCAAGGGTTTCTTTAAAGTTCTGTATCTTTGCGGGAAAAAATGGTAGCGGTTTTTCACATACTGGAAATTAAAGATGAAGGTTTGTACTTTATGCTGCTGTAAACAGTATCACCAAAAAAAAATGTAGCAAGTCCATGCATTTCGTCAAACTTTGTAATTTTCAATATAGCAAACATGACCTCACATTTACGGTGTTATTGTGGTAGTGATGCATCAAATCTAAAATCAAACTACAGCGTCTTAAAGTAGAGATCTCAAGCTTTAATTTGAAAAAAAAAAAGAGCATAACTTTGCGATGTATTTTCACGGAGTTATCATCAGTCAAATTTGGCCAATTTTTGCCTAAAATTTTTCTATGCCATATTTCTTTTGAACAGTGTATATTCTAGAGTTAATTGCGGATACCTTATATGATTAATTCCAGATTCACGGATGTTTAATGGCCACTTATATTTAAATTGAAATTAAATTATAGAAATGAGAAGGTTTGCAATTCTCGCGCATTATATTGTAGATTTAAAAGATTCTGTGTGAAAAATGGCGGGTTTTCTGGCATTGCTTCCTTCATTAACATGGATCAATGTATCGGCATGATCGTTCGTCCTTTATGTGTATATTAGTTATTATATTCGAACAGATCATTTAAATTCAGAAATTTCTTGATTATTTGCAGTCTGATATATTTAAAAATTTGTATTGTTTAAATTTACAAATTCGGAACTGTATTTCTGAGTTTTTCAAAATGTCTACCTCTCTTGAATTAACACATGCATTATGCACTATTCAACACAGTTTAATTTTATAAAGTAAAATATTATTGTATTTTCTATTATTATAGAGCGATACTTAGCATGGATCATCCTGCATTGAATCTCCTGTCATCATTAATTAATTGCATGCGTACTCAATGAATTTACAAAATAGAACGTTTTTATTCCACATTTTCAATGTTCTTTTTCTTTTTCATGGCACCCTGTATTATTCGTTTGATTGTTATCGTAATCATGGATATCTTTGTGTAAATTGTACAATGAAATTGTTGTTAATTGTTTTTAACGAATTTAATCGTTACACTCGGGCACTTCTTTCTGTTGTAGTGTACGAAGCGTAATGCACAAATATCTGGAAAAGAAGAAAGAAGTTAACTTCGACAAAATATTCAATCAGATGTTTGGTGAGCAATTTTTTCATGTATACCTTATTGTTACATGTTGATCCGAATTAACAGTTTATGATTAATTAGTAATAAATTAATAGTGATCAAATAATTCAATTTCAAGGTGGAAAATTTTGTCAAAAAAGTGATTCCAAGGGAAATAATTTTTGAACGATGAAGCTGGATCAATTATGGCCAGAAATGGTCCTCAAGATTTCTTTTGGGAGGAAGATGAAACATGAAAAATTATCTTTGCAGTTAATATTTATAAATTATTAAAAATTAAAATAATATTTATTTAATATTAAATTAATATTGGTCCAAAGTTAAAACAATATTTGTTTAAAATTAAAGTAATATCAATTTTAAAATGAAATAATATTGATTTAAAATTTTTAATTTGGTCATAATTTGTTAACATTTTTGTACGATAGTTGATAAATAATCTAGTTCGTTTTGTAATAATTAATTTGTCTGTTTTAAAAACGGGGTAGTATGTGCGATTAAGTCGTTTATTTGATTAAAAATGTATCTATATAAATTATAGCAATGTAATTGAAATTTTAAATAGTAAAGTTACTTGTGGTAACTTAAATAATCAAATTAAATAAACAAAATTATGCCATGCGTATTTCAATAATAGAATTAAATTGTAGATTTATAGTAGAATAATTGAATAATAATTTATTTGATCAAAACGAGGAAATATTAAAAAGTTGATCAAAATAAAATATTTATAGAAGTAATAATATAAATTACTTTAAATTTCTTAACTTAAATTCTTGGATTTGCTAAATATCTAACATTATTGTTAGACTGTAAATAACTGTAATATTTACAATATTTTTATGAAATTTAATTGGAAGTACATCCTAAAATTAAAAATAAAGATGAAATGAAAAGGTAAATTGAAAATTGAAATAAAATAAAGTTTAAAATTAAAAATAAACATAACATATAATCACAAATTAAAAATAAACCAGAAATTAAAAAAGGACATAAAATAAAATCTTAAATTAAAAAATTAAGTAGAATGTGAAATAAGAAATAAACATGAAATACAATTTTTAATTAATAATGAAGATAAAGTAGAGTTATAAAATTATAAATTAAAGTGCAGTAGAACTTAAAGTCAAATATGAACATGAATTAAAATCTTAAATTAAATAAAAGAATATAGAATTACAAAGTTGAAAATTGCACGGAAGTATATTCTAAAACTAAAAAAATAAGCTGAAGTAAAATCTGAAATTGAAAATAAACGTGAAACATAATCTTAAATTAGAAATGAAAATAATGTAAAACTACAAAATTAACAAATAAACTGTAGTTGAGTCTGAAATAAAAAATCAACATGCAACAGAATCTTAAATTAAAAATGAAAATAAACTAAAATTGTAAAGTTAAAAATTAAACTAAAATGAAACCCAAAATTAAAAATTAACTAGTATCTTAAATTATAAACGAAGATAAAATAAAATTACAGAATTAAAAATTAAACTGACATAAAATTAAAAATGAACACGAATTGAAATCTTAAATTAAAAATTAAATAATTATAGTGTTGAAGGGTAAAAATGAACTCGAATCGGAATGTTAATTAGAAATAAAAATAAATTAAAGTAAGATTACAAATTGGCTTTCTGTTCTTACTATTCGAAATACTAGTCAAAATTCCAATAAGCGTCTTAGCTGTTACAAGATTAAAAGAAATTAAAGTCTGCTAATTCGGATTAACGAAGACGTAGTTAGAATTAATTAATCGTTTCTCTGTTGTTGATAAAACGAAAGTAAATGATCGTTCGCGTAAAATAAAGGGATCGCTTGAAATAAAGGATTTTCGCAAATGAACAAAGAAGAAACAGTGGTCAGGTTGAAATTTGTTGATTGTTTTATTGTTCTATTAATAGTTTGGGAATTTTTTGTTATAGGAATTTGTGGATTTGAAAATTTTGGAATTTGAGGATTTGATAATTTGGGAATTTTGAGATTTGGGAAGTTGAGGATTTGATAATTTTGAGATTTGGGAAATTGAGGATTTAATCATTTGGGATACTGAGATTTAGGAATTTGAAAATTTGGAATTTAATAATTTGGGTATTTTGAGATTTCGGAATTAAAGGATTTAAAATTTTCAGATTAAGAAATTAAAAAATTTGAAAACTTAAGAATTTAAAAATTGAAGTGTTTGACAATTTGAGAATTGAAGGATGTAGAGATTTAAAGATTAGAGAAATTAAAAATTTGAGATTAAGGACGTGAAGGATTTGACAGTGTGAGAGTTTAGAAACTTGAATATTTGGGGACTTTTATATTTATAAATTAAAGGATTAAAAAATTTGAGATTAAGAAATTAGAAAAGAGAACTTAAGAATTGAAGTATTTGACAATTCGAGAATTGAAGGATTTGAAGATTCGAGAATTGGAAGATTTGAAGATTCAGGGACAAGAAAACTTGAGAACTCGAGTCGAGCGATAGACAGAGAAAAATCAGTAGTCAAGATGAAATCTGTTGCCTGTTCTATTGCACGGATTATTTCTCGTTCCTCTAAGTATAGTTTGCCTGCAAATATCTCCGCTTTTTACGCGTAATTATAGCCTTTCGCAACGGCAGTCATCCGGCGTTAAAGAGAATTGAAAATCAATTTTGCAACGCTCACCGAACTGTGCACTGATTGACCGACAAAACGCATTTGTTTCGATTTATTAAAATAGTAGTAGCTTTCATTGATCGATATATATCTAGAGCTTGAAACGATTACTAGACGTTGATATCGAGCTATTCTACAATCTAGAATCACCTTTAGTCGCCTAACGGAAGATGATGGATAAAGTGGATAATTGTTTGATTACTTGCTAATGAATCTATCAATTTTATTTAGTGGAACCTTTGTACTATACCACATTTATTTATTGGAGGAAATAATGGAATTGACAAGGATAAAAAATCATTTAATTTTGTTGGTAAAGGGTCTAGTTAAATTAAATAGTCAACTAATAACCACGATAGTCAAAAATACTCTTGAGGCAAATGAAACACCCAATGCGTCAGTTGATAACATATCAAAAAACATATCATACCAAGTTTCAACCCCATATTTCATTCGTGAGGTACTAAAAGGGAAAAATTCTGTTTAATTTGGTACAAAAATTCTGAAACATTAAGAGAATATTATCAGAATTTAGAATATTATCAGGAACTAGAATTTTATCAGATTTTTTGATCGCATATTGTAAGTGTAAAAAATCAGAAATCGGAAAAAATGCGAAATTTTGTTGAAGATGTCGGGCCACTACTTTTATATTAATGTGGTAGTTACATATTGGCACAACTATTATTCCCTAATTTTTTCAGATTTTATGATGAATTGTATAGTTAAAAAAATCAAGAACCGATATATTTCTTTAAAAAAGTACGTTTCACTTTGAATTTACATGCCTTCGTTTTCGGTATATTTATTAAAAAATCTTAAATAGATTCACATTTGCGACTGGTACAAACGATATGTTAGTCAAAGAAATAAAATTCATTTATTAATTAATTTTATGTCAGTTATATTTTGAAACGTAAAACGTAATGTTCGTGTTTGTAATAATTTTAATGTAGACTTAAAATGTTTATGAATTATCGTTATTCATTTCTGTATCCCGAGAGTGAAAAGAAAAATTATATTCTGTTATATTATATTAAATACAATTATATACACTATTATATACAATTTCAATTTCAAAAATTTCTATATCCATCTCAAATACATATAAACTTGGTTTCGTCTGCAGAATTTTGTACATCAACGTTAATTTCAAATGTTAACATTTATAATATTCATGGAACGTTTAAATCGCTGTTTACATGGCATTTAAAATTCAATTTGTTAAAATGCATTTATGGCAAACGTTCCATGTCCGAAGGTAATATTATTCTGCGGTAACATATGAATAAATTATAAAAGTGACTTCGTGGCGTGTGCAGGAATGTGCAAAAGGGAAATTCGTCGCATTTACACGAATCAATAAAATTGATATACCCAGAATTTCAGCTAAACCGTCTACGACATTTGAGTTTTCCGAATTCGAGATGACGCATCCAATGTGACAAATCATACACAGGGAGTCCAGTCATCCTGTATATTAGAAAATAAGGATAAAATATGCTGAAGATACTTATATGAGCTGTTTATTTTCGAAATGACCTAAGTCCATTTACATTCAAATTGGAAAGTTTGCGTTCAAATTTATGTTTAAATTGAAGAATTTGCGATTAAATTTATGTTTACATTGAAGAGTTTGCAATTAAATTTATGCTTAAATTTAAGAGTTTTAATGAAATTAAAAATATATGTATAGGATATCAATGCATCATATTCCTAAAGTCTATCAATACGAATATGGACAATAAATCGATAAAAATGCAACAACCTTAACTACATTTATAATGTAAAATGAAAATTCTATTTTATCGGTATTTTGTACCTACGAATATACTTTTCACATCAAAATTTACAGTTAGACACAGTAACTTTTGGGCAAAAAAGTTAACAAAGACCATTTTCATATTTGGATGCCTCAGAAAAAATACACAATTTTACAATTGAAAGCATCCCTCTAGCTTTGCTGCTTCTCGAGATCTTCAACAAAATATGATCCGTACCCCGCACCTTTAAGGCTATTTTCACCCCCTATTATGAATATTGACAGTTAAAAAGAAGTGTCGAATATTTTATATGAGTACAGAGAACTATACAGGGTGTCTCACAATTAATGTAGGTCCCTGAAATGTACAATAAGAAACAATATTATATTGGTCAAGTATATAACAAATAATTTTAAGTATCTCCATACAGGGTATCTCCAAAGTCCTCGCCGTTATATTTCATAAACGACTTTAAATACAGGGTGTCTCACAATTAGTGTAGGTCCCTAAAATGGAGGGTAGCTGAAGTGATTCTGAATAAGATTTCCCTTTGCAAAAATGGGGTTTGAAATTATGCGTTGGATATCCACACGCTGGATTACTA